ATAAGGGTAAGCCTTGATATTAATTTATATTTTAAATTCATAGTGCACCATTAAAAGTCAATTTGCAGCAGAACTACAATTGTCATTCATAATATACTTTGATATTAAAAGCTAAACACTTTAAAGCTCGGCTACATTTACAGTAAAATTACTAAGGTAATCTTTTACCTATATTGCGCCAAATTTATGACATGAAGCATAAAACATCACGACAGATTAATGACTGGGTGGCTCCACAGGGCAAAGTCTGCTCAGATAGCAGATATCACTTGATCATTTACATTTATGGTGTAAAGGTAGAGATATTGGGCATTGTACTGAGCAGAGTGTCATTTCAGAAATATCATAACAGTCTAATGAGCTAGGTAGGCCATGGCAGTGATGATATTATTTCTACATATTGGCATCCTGTTGATCCAGATAAACATAATCTATTTATGCCGTTACAGTCATTTGGTAAGCACACCTGGCTGCAATAAAAGCTTTCAACCAAGGAGCTGCATGAACTTTACTAATTTCCTTCTCTAGACAACCTTCAAAGAGTTTATTTGTCTGAACGTCTACAGATTAGAAACTTTCACGGTCAACTTCAATATATCTTTGCTTTTTAGTACTGTTTTATTTTCTATTTTGAGATCTCATATTTATTTATTTTTCTAAAACTCCTCTACAATGCTGTTCAAAACGTATTCTAGCTAACACAAATGCTTTACAACTAAACCACCAAGTGAAAATAACTGCTCCTTGAAAAAAACTGAAATGTGAATACTAAAGTTGAGTTTCCATAGGGTTACAAAGTAGAGAAGTCTAAATGTATCTAAAAAAGGCTACATGTAATCATTTTCCAAACCCAAAACATGTTTTGTTCTGCTTCAATCCATATTTTTTGGTGTTTAGCTTTTCAAAAACAACTTAATAAAGCTTTTTGCTTTTACACCTGCCTCAACAGAAGAGAAGCTCAAGCCTATCTCGCAGTCTAACATCATTAAATTCAAATAAAAAAAAAAACTATATATTTTATACGAGCAGGTGCACATAACTAGGTAGCTGAAGCATCGGTAGTGAGAAGTAGAAGAATTAGTAAAGTCATGCTCTAAAAATAAACCCTTGGAAACTGATAATGTTATCTCTCTAACCAATAAGAGGCCATATTTACACAAAACCACAGAAGAGTGCTAATTATGTTTAGTCACTTTGGCTTATAGGTCAAGAAGAGGTCATAAAAGTTTTACAATTTCCTGTTTTAGCATTACTGCACCTATAAGGGTAAAATAAGGAAGTTAATCACAAACCAACTACTATGGTTACCCCAAACTGTAAATATTGGCTGTCGATAAGGCACCATTTTAGATTTTGCTTCTCCTTCTTTCTCTCTATTGTCCTACATGTATGTTGAAAATATTTCAGACTACCTGCCATGTCGGGTTTTGAAACGTGTACAACAGGCCTGGGGAGAAAGAAGCCTCATCGTCTCGAGTCTTTAAAAGTTGCCTTTATAAGATGATTTTGCAAGGCTTAACATGTGAGAACACTTTACTTGCACATGCCCCACCTGTGGACACAATTGCTTTTACAGTAATGAGCAAAAATGTGTCCAAAAATCCAACTATTGCCATACCGCAATGAACGGCACAATGCAAATTAAACTGAATATTCTATTTAAATGGGTTTTACCAACCCGAGGCAACAACTCAGGAGAAGAACATTTTGAATTTCAGTTGTGGGCACACATTGTTAAGCATTAGAAGCATGCCAACACATACACAACACCCCCATGCTTACTGTAAGTCTCTGCCAATTGTTTTGGCAAAAACGTGCAGGAAGCTCCATCCTCCGCTTCCCAGGTAGAAGATCAGGATGGCCGGGAGAACCTGGTACCAAGGCAAGCCCACCAGCAGTTTCAACACGAACAGCAGGGCTGTGGAACACCCTAGACGCATCATCCTGGAAGAAGGCACATACACACACTTACAATTAAATACATACAGATAATAGCTTCAGACCACAGAAACTGATCACAAATATTTTTAGACCAAACATCAGTTTAGTAGGAGTAAGGTTACATGCGGTTAAAGTAAGCAAAGACAACGGATGTTGAACATCTTCAAGCCAACCACTTAAGAATGTAATCTACTATAACTCTGTTTACACACCCCACGCCCATCCAATCGACTGACTCAGCTCTGGCACAGTGCGGGGCTTGCAGTAAAGGAGGAAGAGAATACCTATATTTAAGTGTATGTTGTCATGGAATCTGTAAGTGGTAATACACATCAGACATGTTTGAAGAATAAAACATATGAGTATTATTTTCCTGTGCAGTTGAATAAAACCCAAGGCTACGAAGACCTTGGGAAAGCCCTAACTCAAAGCAAATGTTCTGTAGTGTCAGCTGAGAGCAGCAGAGAATAGCATGTGTTGACATTGGTGTCCAGTGCCACCTGATAGCTAGGAAAATGATCCTAAAGCAGTAAACGATAGGTTGACATGACTTCTTATTATTTATGTATCGGTCTATGTAGAAATAAAGCTGCAGGGATGTCATTTCACAACAACTGGGCCTTTCTTTATAGGACATCTGTTTTCTGGCAGCCTTTTTTTCCAAGAGCCAAGATGCTGAGTGTATATGTATTGATAGTTCTCCCTGCATGTGGCTGTAATGTGATGATGGCAATAGGATAGCAATCCAATAGGTCAGCTAGCTGCTAAAACATAACGGTATGTGACAAATACAAATACTCGGAATGTACGACATGATGGGATTTGTCATACGTCAAGGGGAAATAATGCATTTAGAGAGCAGGAGAGAAAAAAAGAGCTTCATCATCCGCTGCTGCTGCTGCTGCTGCTGCTACACCCGGAAATTTAAAAAGCGCGTAGCATCATATTGCGGTAGTGGACGGGGAAATGATAGCGAGGCTCAACCCACCGTTAGTTAGACTACGCCTCGGCTAACCGTGCCATGTGCGCTCTCAGAAAGGCCTTCAATCGGTACCATGTTGGACGATGTTTAAGGTGCTAGCCTGATGTAGGTTATCATGGTAACAGGCGCGCCTGGGAAGCTGGATGCGCAGCACATAGTGCGCCTCGGCTTAAGCGGATGGACAGTGTGACAGCAGTCTCTTTTAGCAAGGAGACGCATGCTGAATATGCAGTCCTCGTTCACATAAATTACCTTTCATGGACCGAGAGCTGCCTGATATTAAAGCCGCCTCTCGTGTCCCGCCAGTGGGTCGATCGCCCACAAGGTTGACAGAGGACAATAACCAGGCTCTTTCCCTTTCTCTAGCAGATAATAATCATCCGAGGAGTCGAACCTCGCGGGGGGAGCTGCTCGGGACGTGGCCCCTGAGATGATCGAATTTATTTTGCGTACATACCTTGCACTCCTCGTTCACAGCATGAAATCCCGAACGTGAAACTCGTTATGTGCGATTCCTCTCCTGATCGGCTTACAGGCCAGCCTGGTCGCCCTGTCCGCTGCTCACCGCCGCTCGCTTGGCTTGACAGAGGCTCACACAGAGACGCACGCAGAGACAGACACACGCACCGGGATCCCCTCCTGCTGTAATACCACAACGAGCTCTCCTCTCCTCCGGTGGGCCGGGAGTCAAATACTCCTGACTGTGAGCGTCGACTTTGACCCCGCGATCATCATCCGTTCATTGTCACAATCATTGATATCATTTCTGGGTTCATTGTAGCCGATAAATTCGCTAGCAAGCGTAATTCAAATGACCTTATAATTTTCTTAGCTGCGCCCGCCCACCACCGTCAGCGTCCCATCAGTGCATCAGGAATAAGCGGTGACGGACAGGAGCCTGGGCCAATGGGGGATCGCGATTCTTCACACATCCCATCCGGCGGGGGCGGGGTTTGCGGCACTGGTGGAGAGGAAATGCGGCGCGGCCCTGCCTGCTTGCCGACGGAAACAGAGAAAGGGGAGGCCGGCTAGTAAAGCGGTTTCCACCCGGTAGTGACAACGAGACCCTAATGCGGAACAGTGTAAAATGAGCCTCACAAGCTCCATTCATCTCTACGACCCAGCTACAAGGTCTGTCACTGAAGGGATCCCTGCAGAATCGGGACAGGATGTCAAACCAAATCATGAAATACCAGTTATTTTTATGATAATCATCACTTTTGACCAAGGTTTACAATAAAAGCTAAAGCCCGTTAGCCAGCGAGCTGCAACCGAACGCCCCATCAGGCGATTGCTTGAATTTAAACGTTAACTGTGCAAGTGAAAATCTGCAAAAAGAAACAGTAGCTTTCACATATTCAAAAATGCCGAATGCAGGGCCAGGCAGAAAAATGATTATAGATGGAGCCTTAGCTTGTAGCTATTTTTAGTCTCTTAAAACTATGTTTTTCTGACTGACAAAAAAAACCACATATATTTATTCTGAATATTTGTTAGTTGCATCATTAATTATAATCAGGCCAAGTAATCAATTCAGTAGCTGTAAAAAAAAATCTCAAACATTGGTTGTTGCCAAATTATTGACAATTGTGTTGATTATGGAAACTTTGAAAAGGCACTTTGTAGGATTTCTTTAGAAAGAAATGCAAATCTAGGCTCAAACCAATACAATCCCTCTCGATCATCGCTTATCACCCAATAAAAGTGTGTGGCCCTCAAGCACTATGTGTGTATTTTATGATTGAGCTGTTTTTGTGACATTTCTGGGTGTTATCCTCTATAAAAGTGAACAGGTGCCAGATCTTAAGCAAGCATCCTAGAGGGAGAACATGCAGAAAGAAAAACATCCAAAGCTAGGGCGAAACACAAGTAGACAAAGCTTGTTCCAAAACAATAGTAAGGTTGACTTTCATTCGCTTGCAAGCACTGTAACCTTCGTTGAGCCGGGGAGGGGCCAACTTTGAATGTTGTGTTTATATCCGTCAAGTCAACCGACTAATCATACGCATTGTGTATTTAAGCAAATAAGTCTTGTAGAAGCCCACAAGGACACGATAGAAAAAACTCCGACCTGCTTTTGAATCACAGAAGGAGGCTGACATATCACACAGTGATCACAACAGCCATGTCATGAAACACATGGCTTTTTCAGGGAAGATTTCCAAAGAGACTAATACTATAAGAGAGTGCTGTAGGTCACTGCTGCAGGTTAACAGAGGTAATTTCCCAGGTGGTGTAAAGAGCCAAAATTAATAGGGACACATTTCTAAACTCCTGCAATATGTTGTCTGCATTTGCAACAATGCCAAAGACTGACCCCAGCATATGAGATGGTAAAAGAATGATACATACACATTTTCATCATTCACTCTCATAATTTTACACACAACACACAAACACAACATTATCAGGGTTGTGAAGCTCATCTGTCGCTATCAGTTCGAGAAGACCCACTATCAGAGGTTCCCAGACAGATAAGGGCACGCCCAGTACATTATGCAGCTAGTCAGCGTTTTGTTTGTACAGTACATATACTGGACATTTCTGTCAAGATATTTGGGGATTTTTTATGAATACAGGAAGCAGGCACCCAACCCTTTCTTTTTAGTTAAACATGTGGGGACAGACAGGAAACTGTAGATGACCTAATATCCTCTTCCCCTTACTAGAATTTTTTTAAGAATCTGGGTCAGATGTTAGCAAATGTGCGTGTCATATTTTGGGTTTAATTCAGCAGACAGGCCTGTTATAAAAGTCTATTAAAATTAAGTGCGTTTACTTAAATAGTTGGACGGATAAATATCAAATATTGTCAGTGTATTGTGACGCCTTCTGACAAAGTTCATAGCTGTTTGTTCCAAAAAAAAGGGTGCTATAACAATGATGCATCTGTACCTCCTGAACTTTAATAGTGCATATGGGAACACGCTGTCTGTGGGGGTCCGTGTGCCCTTTTTATTACAAGTTATTGTCATTGTACAAAGCATTTTATACTAGGAGTTAGTAATTATTTTTTACACTCTAAGTACTCTAGCATTCCTTTCCTTCCTTTAAAAACAAACCAAAGTCAGAAAAGTAATTAACATTCAGGCAGCCAACATGCATACCTTAATATTAACTATATTTACATAAACACATATGTCAAAACAAATGAAAGCCTTAAGTTCCTACTGAGATCTCTCTCTGTAAAAATGTCTGTCTGAAGGAGCCGCTTGAGTTCAACACAGACACATCTTTAGTCCAATCCATCATCTTATTTACAATTGGCCTTTTTGTCTTGAGTTCCTCTCTTATTCCTAGGAATCATTCTCACCACCTTCATTTGAACTTTTTGTCTTCAGTCGTCCAGTTCAAGATCAAATTGGCTGTAGAGATCTCGCGTGGTGGTCCCCCTCACAGCAGCTGCAAAACATAGCAAAGCCAGGGTGAGACCCTTCAGCAGATTACAGGGTCAACTCCCTCTAGTCTACTTTTCAAACAATTCTCAAAACACTGAGCAGACCACGATCGCAGCACCAAACAAATGACACACTTTAAACACAGGGCTTGTACTTGGTAAAAAGATTGTATACAAAGCTTTAAAGCGCTACTGAAAAATAAAAACAGACCACTTATTTATTTATAACTTATTTATGTGCATTCTCATTGATTACATATACAATCATATTTTTAAAATGAGTTTAAACCCTTCTAAAGCCTAATTTACAACATATGATCTAAAATATGATGCAGATTAGCCCCGCCAGCTAGATTTCTACCTTTGTTTACATCATTCAGCAAGCTACAATGCTGGCAAATGTGTCATTAGGAAAACTCCTAGATTTAACAGTTAAATCTAAAAGGTAAATCTTTAAGACTATAGGCAAAAATAGACATTTCTTGGGGGGTGTGACAATGACCTAAAGACAGAGAGATAGACGGACAGACAAAGGGACAGTTGTCTTTAGAGGGTACTGCAGGGCATCTCCTCTTGTCCCCTCTTTCCCTCCACAGCCCCTCTCTCTCAGAATAACAGCATAGAAGAGCAACTCACTGTTTAAGTGTAGACTCTTTGTGAACGTGTGAGTGTGTGTTTGACAGAGTGAGAGAGAGAGAGAGCAGGAAGGGGGGATGAGAGTGATAGCATGTAAAAGTGTATGCATGTGCCTGCATGACAGACAGGGATTGTATTTGTGTGTGTGTGTGGGTGTGTGTGTGCGCGTGTGTGATGAGAAAGACTGCCATTGTGTCAGAGGGGAAACACCATCTCCATTCACTAAGAGGTCATTATCATCCTGACTCTCCACTGTACTGTACGGAGAGATCATTTAAAGAGATAGCAAGCTTTTAGCTCACAGTATAGATTTAAAACCTGCATGAGGAGATCAGGTGTGTCTCTTCTTGAAAACAACTTTTAAAAAACTCACTTTTTTAAAGAATTATTTGTGATTAAAACAGTTTGTTTGTGATTTAATGCATTTAGTTTTCGGCTTCTAGTTAATTGCATTCCCTTTGTGTTAATAATATTTGTATATTTAAATAAAAGACAGCCCAGTTCTTCAGCTGAAGTGACAAAATAAGTGACACTACTTATTAACCAGAACTCTGTGTTGTGCTTGTGTCGCAAAGAATTAAACAGTGCATCAGGTCCATAATAATAATTTGACACCATGCGCAAGCAGGTGCATGTAAAGTAGGTAAAAACTCATGTTTGTTATGACACACACATACCGTAATGTGACTTGGCTGTGATTCACCAAAGCCTTCCTCACAGTGTGCAAGGTGTGAACTTCCACAACTTCATGCAGTTGCACCATAAGCACACAAATATAGTTTTAACACTCATTGTAGCGTAGTTCCTTATACTAGTGTGTGCCCTGATAGTCAGATTTACACAGTGTGATGCGGTGTCACAGGAGGTATGACACAAGTCCTAGGGAAAAGCTGAAGTGTCAACACAACTTTCTGATCTCTCTGAGAAAGAGACGGGCCTGCAAATGTTGTACTAGCTGCTACCTGATCAATGATTTAAGATTATGGTGACTATTTAACAAAGCACCCCAGATGAAATGGCAATGCAAGTATAAACAAGCTCGCACTTTACCCAATGACTTTTTTGGAAATAATCAGATTGATTTGAAGGTTTAAGAGGCATGCCAATTACATTGTGAGTACATTATGGGATAGTTATGTTTACATTTAGAATATAAATGTAAGACTTGGGCTTTTGATACACTGAGGAAACAGAGACACTGCTATGTTGCCCTCTGGTGGCTGGATGTACAACAACCTACATCTTTACCAATCTCAATGTACTGCAATCAGACTACTATGAGCTATAGTTGAAATACCTATTTAGATAATAGTGTATTCACATATTTTTTTTAATCGTGTATGCTTAAGTAACTTAAATGTAACTATTTGGCATATAAAGATTTAAAAATCATCTTACTACCTTCACTAAGGAGGTCATGTTTTAGTTTTGGTTTGTTTTTCTGTCTGGCAGCAGGACTCCATTCACGAGACAGATGCACATTATTTATGTCTCACTTTTGTTTACATTTTACAAGATAGTGATGCGATTGTGGTGCTGGAATAATTGTAAAAGTGCATGTGAACGCAGGCACCCTCTTGGGAACTCTACAACAGCTATATAAAGTGTTGTTTAGACCTTCTTAGCAATAAAAACAAGCAAATCTTCTCTGTAGCTTCTGTGTTGTTTTCACATAATGGTTTCAAGCTCATAATCACAACACAGTCAGAAGACCTACTTCCCAATTCAGGAGATTGGATCTTCCAAGGAGCACATATATGTACGAAGTCTGCGAGTGGCATTCTAATGTAATTTTTGTAAAGGTTTTTAACACCGATTTGTGCAGTTTGTGTTCCTTGGGTCGAAATCACACCAAAAAGAGACAAATTGTATGTTGAATCTGGCCTGTACAGAGTTTACACTGATGTTTCCAAAATGAATCATGGGGAGTAAAACATGAGTCGCATCAACAGACAATAAAAAAGATTACTCACTAGTCATAACTGAAAAATTTATTTTATCTGTCGTGGATAAAAAAAGGTCACTACTGGAGGGAAGAGAGGATGCGTCCTATAAAATGGCTGCTTTAGCAGAGAAGTCAGGCATTATATTATCCTATAACTAAATATTGGAGGTTGTTCATGTTGTTATCAAATTGTCACACCTCAGTTAGCTTGGAAGCCTATGACTGTGCCCCAGAATATGAAAAGCATTGTGCTTAATGGATCAAAATCATTGAGCTAAAAGTAGTGCTGAAAATAATGATCACGCTATTGAATAATACAACTTGTTCCCAAATTAGTTTTACTAATTGTAAAATGCTAGTTAAAAGTAGTGTATTGAAATGTCTAACTAGCAATTCTCTTACCTATTCGGCCAAGGAGAGACTGTCCAATGTCTTTGATGTCATTGTATTCATGCAGCATATCAATATGATGCTCCAGCTCTTCTACTCTGCATCCCCTAAAACACACACATACATTTCACACAAAAAATGATATTTAAAAACACTCATACACAATAACAGCTAACACAAAATTAAAACAACTTAAATTAGATTAATAAAACGATATGAAGGCAAAACAGGCAGCAAAAGCACACATTGACACACTAGGGCTTTGGCGAGATAGTGAAAATCAAATATCACAATCTTTTTGGGAACAAATACCTCAATATCATTATTGGGACACTATTGTAGGATAAGAATTTTGATAAATGATGAGTAATGTGCATATAATAAGTAAGTAGAATAAGTGAGTGGAGGGAAATAACAAACGAGCTACAGTGGTCTCGGAAGTTCAGAAAATGACCGATTTTACTGTAATGATGCCTTTAAAACCAGGAAAGACAATACTTAGACATGCTACAATACCCAAAAGCTAAGACAATACCTAGTCTCATATCACAATATCAATATATTGCCTAGCCTTAGGACACACACATGCATAATAGGTATTTTACGCTATAAATAGTGGAGATCAACCCTGTTGATTCCCTCCCTCTAACACTAAACTGAATCATCAACACAGCATGCCTACTCTCAACCTAAGATGGACCTCGAAGACAGAAATTGAGGAAGGAAAACACACACAGCTGTACTCACTCAGCCTCCAGCTGTGCTATCTCTGTGTCCAGCTGCTCTCTCCTCCTCTCCAGCTCTGCCACCTCCTCTGCAGGGCTAAGTTTAGCACTCTCAGGGACTTGAAGCTGTCAGGTGCAAAACCAACAACCATGATCCTGGGATACACCTGTGGCGCTACTTACTTCTCTGTGTGTGTGTGTGTGTGTGTGTGTGTGTGTGTGTGTGTGTGTGTGTGTGTGTGTGTGTGTGTGTGTGTGTGTGTGTGTGTGTTACTGACAGAGAGGGTGTTTACTTACAGGTGATTTGAAGTTGGAGTTTACTCTCTTAAACTTTGAGAATGGAGTTCTAAGGAAACACAAGAGGAAATCTATTGTTAGGGACACAATGCGTTTGACTTGATAAGAAATATATAAAAAGCTAATATTGAATATTATTTATTGGATTATAGCCCCAGTCAAAATAAACTTTAGATTTGAAGTCAAGCACTTAACTGTTTCTTTTATATGGCTTAATAATGATGATTATCAAACCAAGCAATACTCACATGAGGATACTATAATAAAATATCAAATGTATTGCTTTTTTTGTAAAACCAACTACTAAAATGTTCCAAAAAAAAAAATACAGCTGATTTTTCATAAAGATTATTTATATAAAATACAAAAAACACAATTTAATAAAATGATTATTTTCCTACTTGTCCAGTCAGTGTAGCAATACAATTGTGCAATGATTCACTGGATCACATTACATTGAAGCTATTGAAATTATCATTACTATTAAATTAAATTAAATACTACAAAGAAGTGCGTGTCACTGGATCACAAAACATGGACATCTTTTTAAAGAGCTGTGCCACATTAGACACATTTATCCGAGTTGATTAGCATCATCTTCACTAACATGAGCAAGCTAGCAATTCATTATTGACAAGAACATAGGTTTTGGGTTATTCAAACGGTAATACATTGATGGTCATTAAGTGAAATGTTGTCAAAAGCGAGGGCCACTGAGAACAGACAAACCGGAGTGAATATCTGACGAATATTCAATGTAAACCTAACTTCACTTCGGTTAATGCTAGTGACAGAACATGACATCTCATTAGGATTTTAAAGAAACATCAACGACACACTGATGTCTTAAATTGCCAACAAACGATTCAGCAATCCCTGATAATAAAGCTATCTTCGATGCTGGCAGACGATAGGTCGGCTAGCTAGCGTTGATGCTAACTGCTAACAAGTTACCTTTTCAGTGCTCCGCTCTTCAAGTCATTCCCTTCCGGTGTTGAAACTGAACACCTATTTGGACTGCAGTTGGATTCAGCAGACTGCTCAGTGTTCATACTGCCTTAAATGTTATGGAAATAGCGTAATACTAAGAGTGTAATGGTCTTTTTAATGCAGTAAAGAATACCTTATGATATGGACACAAAATAGGACGTTCGCATTTCGCGGCTGACGGTAAACAGACTCGTTCTGAAGACGGGATTGGTTCTTGAAACGGAGAGGCGGGACTTAAGACGATTTGGTTACCCTGGTAACAACCGTGAGTGACAGATAGCCCACGCTTGCGTGTTCTCAAAATATCAAACACGTTCAACATAACCAAAATAGTGAATTTGTTTTCTATGTATGGTAATCAGCACCTAGGCTAACATTTAAACGGACCACTTAGCGTTTCGTCTCCAAACCCCTTTGCTTTGGGTGTTCTAGCTTTCTTCTTTTGAGCACAAAGGATCAATCAAAACTGTCAACATAAATGTATTAGCTTGTTGATGGACAACTAAACCCTATTTCAGCTGGCATGTGTCAGAGAAGGCAGCATTCATTTTGGACCACCAGATGGCGAAATAGCACAATCTAATTTTACTTTTTTTCCCCTGCCTTCATCACATTTATCTGTTGATTCCCTCTTACAACATGCATATTCTACCCCTTTCTGTCTGTCTGAAACAACCCACTCACTTGTTGATTGGGGAAATCATAGCATAATCTGACAGTGATTTTGTGGCATTTATTCATGTGGCAATATAAACTGCTCACAAACCTATGCCTCTCAGACTGATTCAAAGCCACCAGTCAGAGCTCTAAATCTAAATCGGATTTCAAAAAAAGGAAAAGGTCATGTCCAGTCCACAAACACAGAAACACACACACAGACACATTCACATTTCCACCCCACATATTAGGGCCAGTACAGTTAACTGGGCACAAACCAAAGGAAATGAAACACAGCGAAAGATTAAGCTCTTAACAGAGAGAGATAGAGAGGGATAGAGGAGGGAAGACAGAATGTGTATCCAGAGGGGGTTGGTGTGTGTTTGTGGTGTGGAGGACATAAAAATCGAGTCCATTTTGCGTTATGTCCTCAGGATTCATTGCTTATTTATTAGTTGTTATACAGAGACAGAGAGGGTCTGGAATTAAAAATTTAGACAGGATGCATGGCCTTTCTCCTTTTAGAAATCACAAGATTACACACACTGGGCGGTAATGGCTCCTGCACGCAGTCGTGAGTGTGTGTGCGTGTGTGTGCGTGTGTGTGTGTTTGAGACAGATAGGAAGAGATTTGTGGAGGATGGCTGTTCCTCCACAACTCTGACACAGCAGTAAGCATCCATGTGTGTCTTCGTGTGTGTGTGTGTGTGCACATTGTCTGAATGTTTACACACATCACTGCAGGTTGTTAATTAAGGACACAAAGTCATATGTTTCCTTAGTGAGTGCAGCAATGACAGGGACTCTCAACTATAACATCTGCTGTCATTGTTAATGTGAGCAAGTGTGTGTTCGTGATCTTGGTTGTACTTGAGACTATAGTCTGTATAAAGTGCTCCTTCCTCTCTAATGTGCATCAAAGCTTGGGCCGCCTGTGTTTATTTTTGGCAGTGTGTGGTGAGGGGTCTCAAGAATGCCAAGATAAAGGACTTAAGTATTGGCAAGGATTTGACTTTTTTTTCTTTGTTGCAACTATGAAGAATTACCTTTCTGTGCACCATTTATATTTTCTTTTGACTTTTACAATAATATTTGATGTCATTTTTCTTAAGTGATCTTTGTGGGTTCTTTACAAAGTCCACACAGAAAGTCAAACATCAGCTACACATTTCCTTTTCTAATGTTGATAGACAAAAACAGATATTTCCATCTTCCAAAAACAAAATACCTATTATCTTTCACTGTTGATAAATGAAAAAAGGCTTATAGATAAGAGAAATTGAAAGTGCACATAAGAGGGAGATGGTGAATTTGGTTAGAAATGTAAGCAGAAGGAGCAGGAAGAGCACAAGGAATGGTAATATGAATATGACAAGAGGGTGAAACAGCAGGACAATAAGCGGAGAGGAGGAGAACGGGGAGGAAGCTTCTGTTGTAATGTTAGTTGGAAAGCCTCGTATCTATCATGTCCATAATTCATGGAAGACCAGCCGTTCCTCTGTATTGCATCTACATTTCACTGTTGGGGAATTATGACCAGGGAGCATAAAAAAGACATACACACATGCACACTCACACAAACTTACTATACTAAGGAGGGGGGGAGATAGCAGAGGAACAAGAAGAAGATACATTTGAGAAAGAGTGCAAAGGAGCTGCAGCAGACAGCAGGGTGTGAGAGTGAGCACCCTCCTGCAGGATGAAGGGGTAGATGAAGGGGATGATTCAAAGCATGTCATAAAACATCGATACACCTCGAAATGCCGCGCTACGAGCTCTGCTTACACTGGAGGCGATTATGCCTTTAAATAATTCACAAAGTTTGCTCAAGCACTTATGCACACAAATACAGTACAAACTTCTATGCAAATAAAAACACAGAAATGGATACAAAAACCTACGCACACAAATGTATACTTATACCAACACAAATCAGTGTTTTCACTGAAGTACTCACACATTATGGAGGTTTGGCTTGAGTTAAACTTAGAGGGAAAGATTGGTTTTTATATTTAACTTTTCAGACCAGCACCCAGAGCCAGGGTGAAGGACTCTTTGAAAAGAAGGAGCCGATAAATTGTTGGTTGTGAGGCAGACTCCTGCTGAGCTGGACAAAGTGATGGAAGGATACAGCCACAAATCTCAATCACAAAACAGTATCGATCAGGTGTTTGTATGTTACAGATGCCTTTACTTCTGACAGAGATACTCATCTCTAAGCTAGGTACTGTATGGTAAACATATTCTAGAAATACTATGTATTCCAAATATCATTACACGTAAATGAAGTGACTGTTAAGAGAATAAATACATTTCCATCCATTTTTCGCCAGTGTGACAGTAATTCCTGGTTACAGTGCAATTCCTGTAGAAATAAATGAGAGTTCACATGAAAGAGAATTCATCATATTGTGAAAGGTTTTTCATGGCTGATGCAGTGCTGTTGTATTAATGCCATCACGAAATTGCTATTCATATCTCTGCCAGGGAGGCCTCGGTTTGATATGAGCTCCTCTATACGCCTCCATCTGTCTGTGTATTCTGTGGTATGTGCTATTTCTCATTCATTAGCTCTGACTCATCTTTCTAATAACTACCTCCATTTCCTCCATGAAATAGTTTCCCGTTGTTGTTCTATTGTATGATTAGCCTGCTTGCTTCTCTGACTCATTCAGTTTATGGTCAGAATAAAGCTTCCCCATTTTCGTCTTTTAGCCTTCCTGTGCGGATGACTTTTTTTATTGTGGCTATCATCTCCTCGCCTCTGACTGTCAGGTTGGTTTATCATCGCACTTAAGCGTCCCACTTTGGTCTCTCAGACTCCCAATTCAAACATGTTTGCTGTCATGACTTTAACCGTAGCCTCGGGCGGACTGGATCTGTGTGCAAACAGATTGTATCATTGTTACTGTGGTTAGAGGTTTGGCAGGCTTCACTGTTTTATCTGTTAGAGTATGTCAGAAACATAGTAGGTTCACTGATTTCTCTCTGAGGCATCTGAGCGATGATAGTAATTGTCCTGTTAACACTTTCTATGAAGGTCATGCCTACATGTATTATGACCATATAATACATCATAATCTGCTTATAGCACTGTATCATTATACTTATGAGCCCTCATTCATATTCATAATGCTTTATAACAATAATCATTTAAGGAATAGTTCAACATTGTCTGTGGTTCAACACAAGCAATCTTATGTGCCTTTTTTCTGATGTTTTACCTTCATACTATAGCACAGTTAAAGAGTGTCAGAGTGTTCCTATGGAAACATTTGAGAGTACCGTTTTCCAATGATTTTTCTTGTTAAGTTTATAGCTGGTAAATAAACGACACACACCTTGTGAACTCAAAAGATAGAAGTTCTTCATCTCTGTTTTCTCACAACTGCTACAGCTCATTATAAAGCATCTTATAGTTCATATTGTGATGCATCATTAGTACGTTTATAATGCATTTTAGAGTTGATTTTCCTCTGAGTTGAGATGATGAACAGATGTTGGCTTATTAACTTCATCAACCAAAATATGCACAGGAAAAAAAAACAGAGATTGCTGTTTTCAATCTAGTTTAGATCAATTTGCTGTGAAGAAGTATTACAACAAAACTTAATTGATCAGAAAAAACCTAATGGTCTAAATAATACTTCCGATTTATTTTCTTGCAGGACTAAATAGCTCTGTTTGCTGTTTGCATTGACCAAGTCATACAGTATGTTCTAGCTTGGTGATATTTACCCAGCGTTTAGCAGTTGATTAAATAAGATAATCCAGGATGATGCATTTGGCAACCGGCAGAAATATGTAAAAAAGATTCTGAGGAGCCCATTCAATACACATGACAGTAAGAAAAGGCACATCAAGATACAAACAATCCAAATCATTAAAGGGGCCCTATTACACTGAACAAACGGAAAGGTTGACTTTAATTAAATGTATTATGTCAACAATTTTCATATAATTGTATTAGGTTATTGAAGGCAATAATATTAAGTTGAACCTAATTTTTTTTTATTTAAACTTAATATTATTGCTTTCAACTAACATAATAAAGTTATGTGAAATCTGTTGACATAATACATTTAATAAAAAGTAAACGGTTCAGTTTTGTCAGCGTATGCACATTTTCAGAGTTCATATTTGTATTTTGTACCGTGACATGTTTACTTGATTTCATGTTCAAAAAGTGGTGCTTTGTGATTTTAGCCTTTGCAGACCATTTACATGCACAAACCTATATAACAAAAAAGGGAAAACCCCCCAAAGCATAATAGGGCCCCTTTAACACACTTAAATATAACAAATGAATTCCAAGGCCATTCATCCACAAACATTAGAACATGAATTTGAACCATGAGAACATTTGAACATTTAACACAGTTAATTTAAGGAAAGTACAACAAAACAGTTCAGAAAGATTTTCACACCATTTTATTAGCAACAATGTGTCTGTTAGTTATATATTAGAAACAAGGACAGAAACTTTTCTGCTTCACTGTACCGAGTCTGAAAAACCAGCTGGATCATAAAATAAAGCAAGTAATTCATATACTGTAGGGAAAAAGCAACACTGCATTTGAATATACACTTGTAATAATAATAATAATAATAATACATTTCTCTTTAATAAATCTTTATGGCACAAAGTTTCCTGTGCAACTGTCACATCTGTTTAAAAGGAAGGAAAGCATAGCATTGAGAACTGTGTGAATATGTGTGTGTGTGTTCGTGTTGTAGTGTATTTGCAGGAAAGCACATGTCACAAGAGGAAAACTTATAACAAAATCACTCACTGTTTCACCCTTTGGGAATATTAATGAGCATGATCGCTGATCAAATCAACAGAGAGAGAAAGAGAGAGGGAGTGTGGGTACAACAGCATCTACCATCCATTTTAAAGGGGGGGCGAGGGACAATCCAATCAGCTTTAGGCCCCTCACAAAGCCACAAGCATTTCTTCATGAAATCAAGCGGTAAATCATTTCATTCGTGAAACGTGTGTTCTGTGTCCATAAAACTGCTCCTCCAGCTATAGGCCGGTCAGCCAAGTGCAGAAAATAAAAACAATCCCGGGAAGGAACTCTCTGAGTACCTCAGAGAAGAGCAAATGTTTCTCAGTCCATCGAGTTGAGAGAAGAGAGAGACTAAAGTGTGTACTATGGCCTGTTAAATACTTAAAGATGTGCCTTCAAATGTGAATTAATCTTTAGCCCATGAATCCATTTATCAAACCAGAGACAACACAAGAAATTCAGTGAAGAGTCTAGAAGAACTAAAATAACTATAAAGCCTTGCCTTACAAATGTCCTCTGACTGCCACAATTACAACTTCAGTCTATGTTTTAGCCTTAATCTGTAAAATAAACATTTACAAAATAGGTTTTGTCATCTGGTTGGAGCACTCTTCGCATTAGCATACATTTAAAGGGCAAACTAATACAATGCATTCACCCATTACAAGAAATGTCTAAAATGTTATTGCAACCCACCACAGGGTTTGGTTTACATATAGGGGGGGTGAAAGATTGTTTTGAAGTGAATGGAATAATAATCTCGGTATAACAACTGATCAAGTTATACACACACGCACACACACATGCAAGAACAGTCACACAAATGCAAGAACCTAAAGTATCCCCCCTTTGGCACCTATAGTCACTCCGCCTGCATGAACACAGAGGTCCGTCTCTGCTGAAGTGTGTTACTCTTTGTGTCAGCAGACGCTCAGAGAAACCAGTCTACCGTCAAAATGGAGACCTCTATGAAATTCTGTGGAAAACAAGCAGGGATTTCCATCTTCTGTGAGCCCTTTATGTCTTAAAATATTATGGCCTAAATGATCTGAAATGTCATTGGATGGCAGCTAAAACATGACATCCACCCTTCCTCCACTGGTGGTGAGTGATATTTTATAATCTTTATAATCTGTGGATGGAGGAACAGGCAGATCCTCCCATCACGGGAGAGGGAAACACTGGACTTCTCCTAATCATATTTTGTTAGTATAGCAGCTATGACAGAGAGAGAATCCCTGCTGATTATGGATTAAGGGAATCTGTGTGTCTTTCAGGCCACGAGTAAAAGATTCCAATAGGGCGACACAAACTTTATCAAATGGTTAAACAAATTCCTTTTTCATTGTTAAAAAAAGAGCTATTTAAAACAAAACAAAAACAAGACGTTTGTGTTATTGGTAAATTCACAATACTTTAAACTATCGTGGCTCAAGTGTAAGGTCCTGGACCTGAGCATAGTACCTTGGAAAATCCTGTCCTGAGAGCCATCGGAGTCCTTCAGTCTGCGAAAGGTGACCAGTAGAAGGAGACAAGATTAGACCAAACTATGGACTAAACTGGTCTAGACGACAAAAACAGAGTCTTGTTTAGGCTATCCCTATTCATCTGAGCACATACTGACAACGAGTTCAAACCTCACCCAGCTAAACATCAGTGCTGATGCTGCAGCTGCGTGTGAACATGTCCCTCATCGTGACCGACCGGGCCAGGTTTGGTTTCCGGTAGTTTGAAATGTTCACAGGCACTGGCAGGTCCAGATCTTGCTGATGCACGCTGCGGTAGCTGATCCGGTCGCCTCCGTTCCTCAAGCCATCTGGTTGATGGTGGATCTGCGGCTGAGGGGGCGGCTGCAGGTAGAAAGGCAGGTCATAGTGCGTACAGGATGGACAGAAGGTCTGTGAGCGTGTCAGTTTCCTGGCCAGGGGAGGGGTGGAGAAAAGGGCGGGGCCATTGGAGATGGAGGAGGCGGCGGCCGTAGCCGCCACAATGTTGTGATTGGAGTGGACCGGAGGGAGGCGGGACGTAACAGCGAAGTCTGGCTCCTCCTCCTCCGACTCAGACTCTTCCTTCTTGCAGCAATAATACTGGATGGAGGAGGAGATGGCGAGAAAGATGATGGGGAGCAGAGATGACAGAAGAAGAAGGGATAGAGAGACAGGGAGAATATTAGGGACCAAATTATGTCAAATAGAGAGATGAGCAAAAGAAGAGTTTCAAAAGTGGCATAACAGAAAGATAATGATCAATAAAGAGAAAGGCATTTATTCCACTGAAAAGTCTGCATGGCCATGGTGTTAGCAGAAGCACAGCAGAATACATTCTTTGGCAAGTTCATTGAAATGCACTTAAAGCCATTAAGGTATAAGTCAGCATCTATATTCTACTAATAATGTTTTTTCAGTACTGTCTGACAATGCTTGCCGCCACAAATCCTGAGATTTTGTGCATATTGAGGAGCTGCCATACGAGGCCCTGGCCAAACGTTTGGGAGCAATTCAGAGTTCAGTGATGTGCTCAAGGACACTTCGACACATGGGAGGAGCTGGATACGCACCAACCCTGCCATTAATTCTCTACCTGCTGACTCACAAAAACATACATTTGAGCCCATTACCTTTAAGATAACGGCAATAACAGCATTTTGTCCCACCACAAGTTTTTATACTAGTTAAAGAAACAAGATCATTAGTTAGCTTTACAGTTACTGGTAGGTGGATTTTGTCACCTTCTGACAGAGCCTAGCTAGCTGTTTCAACCTGTTAACTGTCTGTAGCCTTAAATTCAAAGGACAGATATCAATCTTTTATTAAACTCATCTCAGTCATAAATTAAGCATACTCCCAGAAATTAAGAAACTATTTTAAAACTTGATATGATGAGGTTCTTTGTTAACTGAATTTGTTTCAAATTTGTTTGCCAAACATATTTTTAACACTATTGAAAGGCCAAGCAGTGAAATGCACAGGGGAGGAGTTCAGTTTAACAGAATGGAAACGGCATAATTTAAAACAGAAACAAACCCACATGCTTTAATAGCAATCCACAAACTGTAGTAATGCTTCCCGGTGGTGTTGTTAGTGTGATATTTCAAACTATCTGGAGTTTTTCAAGCATGAAAAGTGGTTCTTTTCACCTAAATACATCAGAATATCAGAGCACAACCCCTTAGAAAGATGGATCATGCGTGACGATGCATAAAGATCAAAGATATTATGGCTATTTCTTTTTGGGTGCGGTGATGGCTTTTATTCTTCACAGTGTTGTAGCAATCTTTCCTATTCCACTCACTGTAGAAGAGATGATTTACCTTAAGATCTTTCTGTCTTTAAGGTACAAGCTTACATGCTCTGACAGCCAAAGACCAGGACCATGACTGACACACAGAGAGTGTTTGCCTCATTACCATAAATGTACATTTTAGCTACGCTAGCAGAATGGCCCAAGGAATGGCAATGTCTCATCAGACGGTCCGTCCACCACTTTGGCCTCTGGGATGGATAACCCTGACATTTGGAACAGACATTTATATTACCCTCAGGATGAATCGTGTTAACTTTGGTAAAACCCTGACTTTCTTTCGCGTCCCATCATCATGTTCATTTGTCCAATACTGTGGTTTAGGATCATAACAACTGTGTAGTGCTAATGAGCAAATCTTAGCATGCTGAAATGCTAAACTAAAATGGTCAACACTATCAAGATAAAACCTACTGAACACATGTCGGACAGTAGCATCTAGCTGAGCATTGAATAGCTGCTAGCATGGCTGTAAATAGTCTATTTTTTGTTGAAACCTATATCAGTGTGTTTTACAGGAACGTGATCATTTTAAAGGGCACCTATCCTTACAAAGATTACATTGTCTTTAAGAGTACAACAAATCAGGGCCACTATTCCCTGATGAACATGCCTGTCTATTGCGGTATTTTTATGCAATTCTAAACGCAGCTCTAGAAACATTTTCTACTGCAGTAAAACCCAAGCTTGAGAAGCCTTGGCAGACACAGACAAAGAATGCTGCTACACTCATCAATTACGTTTTTTGGGTTAAAGGAACACGCCTATTATCCTTGCTATTTGAGGTCGCAAACACAATTTCCCTGATTAAAGCAGCTATGCTTATGACTACGTTCTGAAGGACACCTTTAACTCGCAGCTCATGCAAACTTTCTGAGAAAATACAGGGAATATAACACTGTCTGAAAGCAGTTGTGGCCTCACCTGTAGCCTACAGTAGCACAGTACTGCGATGATAAGGAGTAATATAACCGTAGCTAGAATTCCACCAGTGATGACCACTGTCCCGGCTGTCATTCGAATGGCTCTCCATCAACACCCTGCAGAGAGCAAGAAGAGAGAAGGATGGCAGAAGAGGGGCAGAGAGAAAGAGTGGAAAAGAGAAGAGGAGGGAGAGAAGAAATGGCGGAAGAGAAAGCACACAATTAATCAGCACAGTGGCTTCATTAAGTAGATTATAACTGTGTGTCATCTCAGTGGTGCTTATTGAATTATCCAGCAGTTAGGAAACATGTAATAGAATCATCCTACAAATGCTGCTCATATTATAGATGGGATCTCAGGCTGAAACACATGAGGAAAAGAAGTGTGAGAGAGAGAAGGAAATCAGCATTCAACAGCAGAGCAGCAACAGAAACAAGCTGCAGGAGAGCAAAGAGATAAATGGATTGTGGTAGTGAGGAGAGTTGAAGTGACTGAGCATGGTGATAGAAAACAAAGACAGAGCGAGTGGCTAATTGACATGGAGTGAGGGGGAAAAAAAGGTCAAGATGAGTTGAGTAATAGGGATAGGAAGGGATTTGATGAATGATTGTGAAATGGAGATACAAAGTGATGGAGTGGATGAAGAAGGTGGTGTGAAAGACAGACGGGGAAAGGTGATACCTAAACAGATGGAAATGAAGAATGGATGGGAGAAACAGAGGATGAAGGGATGAAGACAAAGGAAAACAGGGTTTTTGGATGACTAATAAGATGGAAAGTGTGCATAAGAAGAAGGGAGGTGAACAGAGAAGGGATTTTGCTGAGATTTTGAGGTTTCAAGCCGAGCACACGGTTGAATGAAAACAGATATATAATCTCTTATGTATACCGAGCCAGGACCCAAAATGCATTATAACCCAGAGACTTTTGTTCATGCCCACTGCTTTAAAAGTAATAAAATACATATCCGTAAGTCTATGGTTGAATCTAAAAATAGAAATATGAAACGCAGGTACTATATGACACCAACCTTGGGAAGGAAATAATTCTGGTGACAATAATAGTCACAAAAGTAAAAGAAAATCTAAATGCTGTCTTTGTGTTAATACTCGCCTACACAGAACACCACAATAATACTATAAAAGCAATACTAAACAATTTGCACTTGTGATACAACCTTTTCCACCAACATTAAATTGATTGATTTTTAACAGTTTGGAGCATTGTGACCAAAAATAAATTGGTGCTCAATCCGAAAGTTTGTTAACGGCAGAAACCAAAAATTAGCACTTGACCTGAAGTGTGAACTATGAGATCTTCAGTGGCCTTGTCATGTTCTACAGGTTGGAAATAGAGGATTGAAAAGGCACAAAGAGAGAAGTCAAGTGAGAAATTGCCTGATTAAAAAAAGAATGTTCAATGATTTTAGTAAGTGTTGGTCCATACTTGTTTTTCGGTTTAAGTCAATGCAGGAAGAACCTTAGCTTATGTTGTGAAAAAAGGGTGGGGTTTTCACAATGAATCAGCATTCTGAGAGCATTGCTTCCCTAATGAGAGAAATCTCTTAATGAAGAATCAATCAGCAGGAAACAGATGTGTGTGATCTGTGACCTTAAGTCAGAGGTCAAGACAAAGCCAATTGGAGATGTTGATCTATGATGAGCTGATTGAGCTCATATTTGACAAGCTCTGCAGATTTGTCAAGTGGAACTACTGTTATCTCTCTTGCTTTCTTGCCATTGCATTGTATCGTTTATTTACTTGCTTATATGCAAATATTGCTTTCAATATTTCATTGTTTCATGTAATGCATTTAAGCAGTATTGCTGTCTTTGTGTGTGCTTCACCATAGCCAAATTATGATCTTTGTAGTCCTCTGGAAAAGTCAGTCTTAATTAATTTGTAGATTCAGGTAGTCTATATTACAGTTTCCATGCGGGTAGAAATGACTGGGCTGAATGATCCAGAATGTCATAAGAACATTTGCAGCAGTATGATTGACTTGAAACTGAACTGACCTCATTCTCAGCTTATTAGATCAATGCTTCCCTTTAATTACCTCTTTTCAGTCTCCACAGCAGCTGGATTACAGGAAGAAGCCTTGGGCATGGAGGCTTTAAATGTTCATTTTACTCTTGAAAGTAACTCGCATTAATCACAAACATTGTAATGTCATTCAGGTTGTCAAAAGTAATTGCTTTTCTCTGCCTTCCTCACATTGTAAAGAATTTGAGGCTGTCACATAACTAAAGAGTTGGAGCCCCGCAGCAGCCATCAACAATAACTGAACCCTTACCTGCTCACTGAGGCAGTTATTTGTTACACAACAACAGCAGCCTAAATCAAACAAAACAAATCGCTGAACTGAACTTTTTCACAGAGAAGTACATTTACATGTAGAATTGAGGCACTATGCAAGATGTAGATGGAGCTTAACGGCTCAATGGCAACAGGCTTTCAGTTGTTACTATTAATGCAAAACATATTTGCCTTTGCTAGCTCAGAATTTGCATTTTTATAATCAGTGGAGATTTTCTGGAATAATCTTGCAAATACAGGAAACAGGTTCTCCAATCCTCAAATTGCATTTAATTTCATGCATTTAATGACATTTCTATGACCTTCTAACAGTGATATATAGGAATAGATGTTGACATTAAGAGTTAGAATCATCATCTGTAAATCATGTTGCTGGTGATGCTTTTGGCTTTATCTCTATGATCCAGTTTTAGCAAGTACAGATCAGCTCTGCATTTCTAAATATATATATTATTTTACCTTTTCTTATAGCGTGCTACTGTCAGTGTGGAAAAAGTTGTGACTCAATTTCCAGGTTTAGCTACATTCTTATATATTTGGGGAAAACCCTGCAGACACTTGACAGATGTGGGAACAGACCTTTTCCCCTTCATTACATGCACAATCTGGAAGTGTCATTGGACCACACAATCACACTGCATTGTGGATAATTGCCTGAAACCAAAAATAGGACAGCAGGCTTGTTGCTAAGCTATGACTCAATGATGCGAGCCATTATCAGCAGCAAGCACACAGCAGTATAGCCCGACGTTGTCAAGATATAACTCAACTGTGACACGAACACACCCTGAAATGATGAAAACATAAGAATAGTGAGGTAAATGCAAACAGTCATGCTCTTTACTGCTATCCCAGTATGCGATTTAAATTGAATTTGTGCCTGTCTGTACATCCTGGACAAGTCTATGTGTGTACTATTGACTTACAGCTCTGACCTTCTCACCCTGAAACACCTTTAAACCATGTTGAATTCCTCTGTGGATATCTTGTCTAAACCCCATTAGCTTTCATTGTGATATTTCTCTCCATGGAGGCTCTATAAAGTTAGAATAGATCAGTCTGTCTCTGCAGTATATGTGCCCTGTCTACAGACAACACAGCTACTCCCCTCAGGCAGGAATACAGCGGGACTCTAATCCAATCTCCAGGCCACACAGTCCACCAACCAAATCAATATGAAGGAACATCAGGAACAGAGCGTTATAGGCTTAGAGTTCAATCGAAGAGCTACATGTGGTGATTTTGGGACTTTTCAGGAACAGAGAACGGGAAAATGGAGGAGTTTGAATGTCTGTCTGACATTTGGGTTAAAGGTAGGGTAGGCAAGAATGGAGAAACCAGCTCGAGTGCGCTAGAATTTGAAACTACGCAGCCGAAAGAAATCTGTCCCTTCCTTCAGACTTCCTTATAGAGCCCCTCCTCCAACACACACGAACGCGCACATGACCAATGAGGGCACGAGATAAGTTTGTGCACGAGATGGAAGGCTGACAGGCAGGTAGGCCATCCAGTTATTTTAGCCGGGCTGGATAAAATAATTGGTCGTGCTTTTTACAGTATTACAGCTTCCACAGATGAATTTTTTTTATGTATTTATTGTCAAAGCATTTAATTTATTCATTGCTATCGGGATGTTAAGAGCATTCCATGGAATATAACAAAAAGTGTTTCTGAAGTGAATTACCTACCCTACCTTTAAGCTGAGATATAGTGATGTAATGTACTGCAGGCCTTTTATCAAATCTTCACTAACAGCACTGCTTAAGTTAGAGCTTTGTTAAATATCAAAAATCTGTCTGATCATAACGATGGGCTTAAAGTGTTACTAATCAATATTTTAATATTTGTTTGAATCAATAACAAAGGATAAAAAACCCTCAGAGAATTATCCCCCAACTCTGCAATTCCCCTGATCTTAATTGAGTGTTTTGTTTTGTTTCTTACGTCCTGCTAATCTACTGTTTTGGTTCACTCTTTACTTATCACTGTTGTTTCTGATTGCTGCAGGCAGTGTTCTGCCACCTGCTCAGCAGCAAACAGCAGAGCGATACTACCAACTAGCTGGTGATTAAAGAGAAGCTTTAACCAGCTAAGAAGCCAGATCATTCCCTCCAAATATTATTCTCAATGACTCAATGTCTAAATGACTATTCCTCTTTGTCCACCGAATGTATATCAAATGATAATATGTCAATATTGCATTTACAGCTTGTTATACAGCCCCAACCAGCCATAAAATCTATTCGGCTTTAAAAAAATACTCATAGCATGTTTATGGTTTTATTAAGTACCATGACCCTATTGTGCATTCAGCCAATGTGTTCATTTAATAGAAAACAACATATCATTTCTAGATAATAATAATAGATAATAACAATAGCGCCCTAACCCTACACACACACACACACACACACACACACACACACACACACACACACACACACACACACACACACACACACACACACACACACACACACACACACACACACACACACACACACACACACACACACACACACACACACACACACACACACACACACACACACAATGCAGACATTTTGCCGGGATTTCACAAGCACAGCCATGATGCAGAATACTATTAAATATGTATAGGATGTGTATGTTTTACAATCAAAAACTACTATAGAGGATGCACGAATGCATGCACGCACGCACATGCAACACGCACACATTCGTTTTTTGGGCAGGCAGTGTGTATCTCCTGGGGCACCCTTAATCAGAGCAGTGTGTGAGGGATGTGTTGCAGTGAGGCGATGAACACTGTTAATTA